CTCATACAGAAACAGGCTGAAGACCTTGTGCTTTAAATAAACTTTTACTGCTGCTTTGTCTTCAATATTGGGGATGGGTGGGTGTATGCAACATACTTGTAGGATGTCCAGTTTTATTTTGTGGAGTGTGTTCTCTTTTATTTTTGTCATTCGTTTGTGCTTTGTTTCATGCTTTGAAATGATTGAATGTATTTGGGGGAGTTGGGTTGGGTGGGGAGGGGGTTTGGATGCGGGAGTTCTGGTTATCCCTTGTGAACGCTGAAAAGCAGCAAATAAAGTTTTCTGTTCATTCATTCATTCATTCATTCAAGTAAGGCATTATTATTGCTATTTAAATTTATGAAGGAGTAAATTGCAATTTTTTGTTTTTGTTTGTTTGTCAAATATAGTTGGACAGACTGGCAGACCCTGAGGTGTGGATGGAAGCAGCCACTCAGGTCTTTTACTCAATGAGTCTGGCCTTTGGGGGGATCATTGCTTACAGTTCCTACTTGCCCAAGAAGAATGACTGCACCAAAGATGCCATACTCACCAGTGTCATCAACCTTGTGACCTCCATTTTCACTGTGACTGTGGTATTCAGCATCCTGGGGTTCAAGGCAACTGTCATCCATGAGAAGTGTCTAGTCAGGTTGGTTTTTTTTTAGCATATTCCAATGGATCTTTGACATTTTTTACAACTCTTGGGGATAATATATATATATGCATGTACTGTAGTAACAATGTTTAATCAATTGAAAATTAGCTGAGAACATGCTGAACACTTTGTGCTCTGATTTGTGCTCAGTAATTGCCTTGTGCTGTGATTATTATTATTATTGATATTTTTGTCATAATTGCACTATTCATGCTTTGTAATATTTTCTGTGATTTTTTTCTTTTCTATTTTCTTGGAATGAGTTTGGATGATGGGTTGTGAGGAAACGATTTTTGAAACTTGTGACTGCTGACAAATGGCAAATGAACCTTGTTTATCTATGTATATATTCTATAGTTACAATGAGACCATTGGGGGAAAGTTGCCTGACTTGGACATTCTGATGAACCACATGGAAATGATCCCTCATGGATATGATGCTGCAGACATTGAGCATGCCAAGGGCAATTGCAGTTTGGAGAAGGAATTGGATCAGGTACAGTATATTGAAGAGATAAAAAAAATTGATCATTAATTAATTTATGAAAATGATGAATGTTTTTTTAAATGAATTCATGATTCAAGGCTGCTGAGGGGACAGGACTGGCATTCATTGTCTTCACTCAGGCCATAGTGGAGTTCCCAGGGGCACCAATGTGGTCTGTCATCCTGTTCCTGATGTTGTTGGCCCTGGGGTTTGGATCCCAGTTTGGAACCATGCAAGGAGTGGTCACCAATGTCTTTGATGTTTTCCATGGCAGGATCACTGACAGGAAGGAAGTTCTCATGGGTAAATTGTCATTCAATATACCAAATGCCACATTTGTTTGAATTTTGAATCAATTCAAAGTCACTCTTCACAAAATATCAAATGTATATGTTACTTGCACATGAGGATAATATTTAAAAAGAAGTTGACAAAGAGAGGTTTTCCATGGTTTTGGCATGTTGTAACCATGATGATGTTTCAGTTCTTATTTTTGTGTTGCAGGTGTGCTGTGTGTGATTTGCTTCTTCTTTGACATCCTCTTTGTGACAAGTGCTGGGGAATACTGGGTATTTCTCTTTGATGTCTATGCTGCTTCTGGACTCATTCTCATTGGGTTTGTGCAAGTGGTTGCTTTGAGTTATGTCTATGGTTGGGAGAGGTGAGGATATTTGAAAGAGAGAGTGTGTGTGTGTTTTATTGTTTACATTTTTAAGTTGGAGATTTTATGAATTTGTTTTGAAGGTTTGTGAATGAGATTGAAAAGTTCACTGGGAGAAGACCTGGGCTTTACTGGACCATCTGCTGGAGATTTGTTAGTCCTGTCATCATTGCTGTCATCTTCCTGGCTTCCATTATTCTCAAGATTTTGAAAAGTGCTGACTACACTATTTGGGATAAGGAAAAGGTGAATTTGTTGTTCATCTGTAACATGTTTCGTCTTACAGTGTGATTATTTAATTAATTTTGTTACTGGATGTACAGTATTCATTTTTTACAAATATTGTTTTCCACATGTGCTTGTGGAGAAGAAGTGTTGCCATGTATGATTTAAAATAACTCTTTTTTATATGCGTTGGTGATTTGTATTCCTTTGAAGCTATTCACATATTCATGGATTTTACAATTTCTTTCTTTACTTGTGTCATCAAAAGACCACAAAGCCTTTGTTACCGTGATGTTTACCTGTTGAAAATAACAATGAAAACTTGTAATATTTTATGTCCCATTAGGAACATTTTGGGGGACTGATGAAAGATTTGATATTTTAAAGCAGTGTTTTAAGTTTCCATACCTTTTGGGCCCACTGACTGGCAAAGTTTCTTTAAATTTTTCACAGATTGGCAAATTTATCAAAAATGTTTTGCAGACTGGCAAAGTTTCATAATCTTTTTTGTAGACACAGCAAATTTTTGCTGGAAAGACTTCATGTCAAGCCTTAAAAAGTTTCTGTATTTTTAAAAAATTGAATTGAGGACCAATGAAACTGCGAAGTGGAATGTTGTCAAAAAATTAGATAGATGGGCTTGAAGAAAGGTTTATCAGAAGGAAAAATTGTAATACAGTATTTTATTTCAGCAGATACAAATTTGTCAAACTTGTATTTTTCATCAGATAATTTCTACTGCCATTTCCAAGAAAATTTCCCACAGACTGTTTTGAAGCATTGTGTTGATTTTTTCAGAATTCTTCAAGTAATTTTTTGAGACTTGGATTTGTATTTAAAATTTATTTTTATTGCAGGCTGAGTCATCCAAAGTGCCATTGCCTGGGTGGGCATTAGCCATTGGGATTTTCCTCATGCTGCTCAGCTTCCTGCCATTACCAATTGTTTTCTGCATTGAATTCTTGAAAAAGAGGAGGACCAGGGCTGCCAATGGTCTGCCAATAAGATCTACAGCTGTGCACAGGAATGAATCATCATTACCCATGATGGGCATTGATGTGAGCCATGCAATGATTAATTTCTTTGAATTTACTCATCCACAGTGTAGAGACATGATTAATGCTTTCTAACTGTGTATAAAAATAAAACAAAGTAAACTTGATGTTTTCAGAATTTATAATTTCTGATGTGAAGTAGAAGTAACATGAGGTGTTCCTTGCAGGTAAAGCCATTGCCAACTATGAGCTCCAAGGTGAAATCATAGGAGGAAAATTTGATGAGTATGCATAAAACAGCTTCAGATATTTTGTCATCTTTTATATAGATTCTTAGATATTTGTTGCTTTATAGGATAGACATGTGAATTGTCTGATAGCTTTGATTGTCCAAGTATGTATGGTGATATTTATATTCTGTATATGGTTTTTTTGCCTGCTGATTCAAGAGAATGGGGTCTTTGTTGCCTAAGTTTGCCTTTTTTGTTTGTGAGAAACAATTATTTTTCCTTATTTGTAAATATGAGGGTTGGTTCAAAAGTTCGGAGACTTTTTGAAATAGATCCAATGGAGTTTTAAAAATTCCAACAACAAAAATTATGCTTGTATAGCCCCATCATTTGGCAACACTTCAGTAGATTTGAATGCATTTTCTCATGCCAAAAATCGAGATTTTTAATTGTCGAAACTCTGTTGATGGATCTATTTTAAAAAGTCTAAAAACTTATGAAAAAATCCTCATGTATATACTGTTTTTCCCTCAGGGGAGCGGATGGAATTATTATTTTTTTTAAGCAGATGTATTTTTATTCAATTATATTTATGTTGTTTTGCAGGAAATTGAGGATGAAGAGATGCCAAATGGTGAAATGGTCTTGGACGAGTTCAGGAATCGAGACAATTCAGCACAGCTGATTTTCAAGACATCTGCATGATGAAAGCTTCATTTTGTATCACTCCGAGAAAAATGCCTGTTGTTTTTTTCTAATGAAGGGAATTTTTTAGGAAAATTTGCGTGTTTTGAGAAAGGAAGGAAGAACACAAGTGGTCCATGATTTCATCCGTCTAGTTTATTGCGAATCAAAGTTGATTCTAAAAAAATATATATATAGAAAGATAAAACCTTTTTTTATATATTTTACTTTTTTTCTTCGACTGCTGTGCATCAGGATCTTTCAGCAAAAGTCTTTTCAGAAAAGGAGCATATCACGAATATTTTTTTTCCGCTATTTATGAAAAACATGGATTACTTGTGAGAATGGATGTTTTGTTTTTTGGTTCGCATGTGGAAATTTTGCACTTTTTTTCGGAATCGCTGTTCAAATAACTGCGCATTTCCGGACTCTTTTTGAATTCTGATCCCGAATTATGTAGAATACTAAGGGACAGGCCAACAATTGTTTCGATTCGATCTAAGAACTGGAATCTTACCGGGTGCTGCTTTTCTATAGTTTCATCCCATTTCTTTGAAACCAACCCGGTCTTCGATTGCGACATGATTTCTCAGCGTGTCTCGATCGCGAATTGATGAAAGGAAGGTTGAATAAGTGGATTTTACTTTGGGTACATTCCCACTCAGGCATTTTTTTTAGCGGTGAATAAGTGTAATGTGTACAAGAGAACACTTAGGTTCTCTTATTGCTGTGTTCTCCTCTTATTGTTGATCCTCTTGAACCCTGGGTATTTTTTTTTCTTTTTGCTGCTAGCTGTGTGATGATGATGATGACGATGATGATGCATCTCTTCCTCCAAATTCAGTGGCATTCTGCAGAAAGCGTTATTTTTGACGTGAGTGGCAAATAAAGAAATGGAGGAAGAGCTGCGATTTTTGCTTCTTGCAAAAACCACGTTTCTGAAGATTCATTGCCACTACCTACCCCCTTTTTCAACCCCCCCTGAAGTTTTTTATGTAAACAAACAACCGAAGAAGATGGATGATGTGGTGATGAGTGCTGGGGGTATTCTGCTCTGCTGGGGGACATTGTGTGCAGTTTTTGAAAAAAAATTTCATGGGTGAGAATCCTGTGGTTATCTACTGTACAAAGAAATTCATTCAGCCCTTATTTTCAGACAAATAAATTAAGTGAAGACCCATTTTAATAGTGTCATAAGAAATTTCACCTGATGGGTGAAACTTCCTTCAATATTTGATGAAGTTGATTCAGTGTTACCATCCTTCCATTCATGACATTTCTTGAAAATTGGTAGCATGAACTGCTAGTTGACTACTGTATTACAAGTACTGGTGGTGCATTTATTTGACTGCTTCATGCAATGATTTCTAAAGGATTGTGTTCTCTTCAGCAGTTTGTGGAAAGTGTGCCATTGAAAAGAAAGTTAACTATAATTTTCTCTTGCTTTGACTTCTCTGTACAGTAGTAGTATAGTGCATACAGTGAATGCAAATGGTTGCTACAGCATATTGGTAGTATTATATATTTCAACTAGGTATCAAATGCTCTTGACCACATCATGAAACACCATTTTTTGTGTATGAAAATATGTAATCCAGTTGATAATAATGTCCTGAAACATTCTTCAATATGCTGAATTTTTCAATTTGGGTTCAATTAAAAATTAAATCAATGAATTGCTTTATAAATGAGATAGTTTGCGGCTCTGTATACATATATATATATACTGTTGCAAATTAATTGCTGAGCTATCATTTCTTTTGGGAAATATGGGTGCGCAGAACTTATTAGATGTCCCATAAATGTGAGTATACCTTGTGATATGGTCCCATGCACTTTCTGATGCTAGCATGCAAACCTGAAGTAAAGAGTGTGAGAGGTTAGTTTCACCTCTGCACACTCACCATGAACACCAGCATCACTGCAACTGCTGCTGTTGATCCCCATCAGCAGAATCTTGGTTTACAGGGTGAAATGCTGTTGTCTGCTGCTGCAGTGAATAATAAGCCAGAGAAAAGGGCCAAGTGTTGTGAAGATGGGGTGGAAAAGTGTCCACCTTGTTTTGATTCCTCAGACATTGAGGTCCCCATTTACATTTGCTTGGCCTTGTTGCTTTGGGCTGCAACTGTCCTGCTTTTCTTCAAGCGCTGGAAGAAGCTCAGGGTGCTGGAGCCTTATCAGCCACAGTTTTATGAAGCTCAGCATGATCCCGTTTGCCCAATGGTCAATCAAGTGAGTTCTAACATACAGTGTGTGTACACTATAAATACTGTATCAATAAATGGAATTTAATTTTATATCAGGAAAAAATGAATGAATGACTGCGCTGTCAGGAATAAACCCAACAAATGATGAGTTGAGTAGTAGAACCTTTTTAGAAGAGATTTTTAGGATGGAAATTTTGAATGAAACTCAGGAATTTGGTCGGGCTGCGACCGGGGTGAGAACACCCTATTATAACATTGATATATTCGTCGGATTCAAAATTGACACTTGATGAAATCGCTCGCAAATCTTGGAGTAACCGCACACTCGAAAAGCAGAGACTGGACTGTGTAGATCATTATTATTTTGGAAAACAGGAAAACTGTCCTACAAGGACAAGATTTAGCAAAATAGGATTAGCAGTGAAAGGCAGCCTTGGAGGCTTCCGTAAGTTACGTGAGAACCGAGGTTTCCCGAGGTTCTCACAGAAAGTGGAATTTGTCCTCAAGGACGAGAATTCGGGTTCTCAATCTTGCTTTCTAAAAATAGAACTAAAAAATTCGCGACATGCGCTGTTGTATGCATCAAGTCCAAAGATTAGTGTTGTACTGTATATATTTCAGTCATGATTAATTTAAGATCTTGAAGGATCTGTCTCATCCATATAACTGCTGTTATTTATGAAGGATTTTTTACTCACTATATAAGTCTTTGATGTATGAATAAATGTTCATTTTTGCACATGACAGGCTAATCTTTTATTTTGCAGTTCATTTAAATAATATAAGCTCTCTTATATTATTTTTATCTTAATTACTAGATATTAAATGCTACATGTATTGCTGTATTTATATTCATAGACACATGTATATTATTGTCATGAAGTTATGCATGTACTTTGATATTGATTACCGTATATGTATATAAGTTACAAATTCAGAGTTGTGAATTTTGTATGCCTACAGGATTTTTTTATAAGTGTCACCAGAAAGCAAATCAGTCTCAAGCTCAAACACGTGCCTTCCAAACAAGTATATGGATGTATACTTGAAATTTTATATTTTTTATTTAAACATTTGAAAGGCATTGTCAAAGCTTTTCACTCAAATGAATCAAATTTTCACCAGCAGCTAATATAATAATTGCCTTATTATACTGTAGTAACAAATATATAAGCTGTGTATAAGTTGTTGTAATTGTTTTACACCCATATGTACACAGTATGATAAATGACAATTATTGTATGTGTCCAAAGGTTGGGTTTGGAGCTTGTGCATCAGAAACTGGAGCAACTCTTGGCCAAGTCAAAGTGGTGTCCTCCAATTGCTCCCTGAACCAAAACTGGGACAGTGCTAGCAGATGGACACCTGGACCAAGTGCATTTCAGACTTTACCTTCCCTGTCTTCTGAGGGTTCCCCTGAACTGGAATCTGATGATGCTGAAGGAGACAATAAACCATCAAATGCTGTCTGTGTGCAAGTGGAACCAAGTTCACCCCTGGACCCCAGCACTGAGGAACCTTCATTTGATTGTGGCCCATCTGGAAAAATGTCTGCATGTCCTAGCATCAAAGGGAGTAATAATAATAAGAAGAGCCTAGCTGCTGTTGTGGATGAAGTTGTGCTTTACCCTAAGCACTCCAGGAGTACATCCATTTACAGACTCAATGTCAACAGGCCAAACCCTCCATGTTGCAGGTAAAGTTAGTATATGTCATGTCTCATGTATTGTGTTAATTGGAATACTTGGAATATATTTAGGTTTTGCAGAAGAGAGACTGTCCAGAGCCCAAGGATCATTGCTTTGGAAAATCAGGGGAGACTCAGGACTGGTTCCAGGGTCAGTTTGATGAACCACCCTTTGATGATGAGGAGGCAAAGGTGCACTTCCACAGTTTCACAGAGCTCTGGAGGATTTTCTACACCAGGCAGAAGATCATCTGTTCAATATGCTCCTCTGCTGAGCAAGCTTCTCCTCCAGCAGCAGCAGGGTCAATTTCAACAAGAATTCCCTGCTGAAGAAAATTGCAGGAAACTTGGAACTTATTGTGGTGTGACTGCTGCTGGTGAAGGGAATTTTGAGGACATTGAATTGGAAAGTATAAACAAATGTTGATTCCAAGCGGTGTGGGATTCTTAACTAATTGAAAATGCAAGTTTAATTTCCAGCAGCTTCATCAGCATGATCCTATTTATATATGTTTGGGTAGTTGGGGAAAGTCTGGTGTTTTGATATATGTTTATATATATTTACGATAACTTCTTCATGTCCATCTGGATGCTCTCAGCAGTGCATTGAGTGCAAGTGCAAGATTACCGGTGGTCTTTTGACATGTAACCAGCTTTAATCATTCTTTTTTTCTTATTCTCTGCATAAATTTTGCACCTCCAGCATGTCCCATTTATGTACTTTTGGGTGGTGGGGGAAAGTCTGGTGCTTTGTAATGTATACATAATATTTATGCATAACTTCTTTATGTCCTCTGCTGTGAATTACATACATTTTCAAATTCTGATCAAATTCACGCATTTCGAGGAATGGGATAAACCAGAGTGGGATAAATGTTGATGGTCTCATTCCTGGTGTGAAGAGAAGGGCTTTTGAATTGAGTTCCATGCTGCTGCTGGTGGTGAACACCTGTTCTTGCTGGGTCTTGGAAGAGTTGTGGATGTTGCAAAGAACCCTCTTTTTCTTTTTCTTGAACAGCGTGTAATTCGAAGCAGAAAAGATGCTTTTGTTTTTCCACATTGGTGTTCTGATGGTCATTAGTACCGCAGAGAAATTGGTATTCACAAGTCCTTGGCAACTCAACATCATTGTCCTCAAAGAATTCAGCCAATTGGACAGACATTTTCTGCAGCACCAAGTTGAGGCGGGATTTGAATTCCAGTTCAAACGTTTGATTAGGAAGCTGGGCAGTGATGTGACCTGAAATTTGCAAGAAATTTTATACAGTACTTATCCCTCATACAGTAAGTAAAATTAAATTCTACTGTTGAATCTGTTCTGAATTTACTAATATGCTGTAAACCAACAGATGATCCAGGAAAATTCAAGAATAACCAATTATAAGAATTATTTGAGCAGAATTTGAAGAATCTGTTAATATTTTTTTTAGCACATGGTATATATATGGATGAATTACAAAATAGAATATGCAATTACAAAATAGAATATTTGGGTGATCATAAAATTAATTTACAATGTAAAGATCTCAAAATACAGTATATCATTGCATATACAGTACTATACAAAGCCACCAAATCAAAAAAGTTGAAAACTCTCTGTATTCACTTATTTGACACTCCAACAATAGTTTGTGTATTATTGAAAAGGTAAAAAACAGTTTTGTATCCTGCATATAATATTGCTATGTATACTGTATTCATATATAGGTCAGAGTTGTTATTTGAGGGTGTTTATCATACTTGAATGCAATACATCCATACATAATGTACTGCACATATATTATTGAATCTGTGTATAGTCATGATAGCCCACCTGAACTTCCTGCAGCCATTATTGTCGCAGAGCATGAAGATATGGCAAACCCCCAAATAAGACCCAATATCAGCAGTTTTGCCATTTTCTTTTCAGCAAAGTTTCACTATATATATATGTTGTACTGCTGAAAAACAGCTCACAAGCGGATCTGATGGGAAGAAACGGCGGATGTCTTCACTATATCATGAAGCTCATCTTATATGAAACCACGTTATCTTTTGGCTTGTTTGTTGGAAAAATTTTGTAATGAGAGACGAATCAATTTTTTCAGACTTTTTCCCACAGGGGTTTGAAAATTTGATTAAATCCGTTATCATAGCGGGCTTCAAATGCGTATTTTGGTGCTTCAAATAGATTTTATGGTGAGTTTGCAATGAAAGGACATTTTCTGTGTATGATGGTAAGCTGAACATTCAGATGTTTTTCAGAATAATTTAACGTAAAATTAAATTCAATCCAAAAATAACTATGTAGGTTTCTGAACCTGTATTCATGGATTTTTACTGGTCTCAAAATATCTTTCAGATGCAGAGACAATAAGTCAGTCAATAATGAGTGGAAAATTAACTATTTTTTCTTTGCCATCAACTATATAAGACTTATCAACAAAACATTTTAAAAGCCCTGAAAGCATTGATCAGATAAATATAGGACATTTATCCTCGAGCAAATATTTTAAGTTTTTGTCGATGCTTCTGTGACAGTCGAAATAATGAGGCATACTGTCTTAAAAGACTAATTTCACCAAGTTGATCAAGTTGCACTGCTGTGTCATCTGTCAGGTGAGTTTATTTGGGTGTGCCGACGCATCTGGTTGAAATTTAATTATATTTTTGAAAATATAAATTGATAACTCAAGAGAACAAGACATTTTGAGACTTCTTATTGAACATTGATCAAGAATTTATATATTTACCAATCGAACAAGCCTTTCTTTACAGTATTTTAAAAAGATTGGGAGATCCATTGCTAAGCTCTAACTACAAGCTCTGTGAATCAAGCATGGCGTCGTACAATCATCATTCAAGCCCGAAGTGTGTCCTAGTGCGGAAGCTTACTTGGTGAATGTACGGGATGGTATTTCTAGATTTTTGATATCTCTTGGCTTATAACCTAAAGTTTTAAGAAGCTATTTCATTCGTTGAGTGAGCAGTCCCACAATGGTGGCTGCGAGTTCTTCAGATGACTGCGATCATACAGATCTAATCCGGACGCATGATCTTACGAAGATCGATAAGCTTGGTGATGCGGAAGGTGAGTAAGTTTTCAGTTCTATTGTTAGAACATGTTATAACCTATTGCTGATTAAGTTGAAGAGGAATTGAAGAAGCGCTTTTTTGCCGGGGAGATTTACACCTGGGTTGGACCGGCATTGCTCGCCATCAATCCACTTGGTCTTGGCGAGAATTTCTTCCCTCCGCGATATTCCAAGGACTGTTCTAAGAATCCTCACGTTCGAGTAATAGCTGATAAGGCATGGGATCAACTATGTTCCTCCGGTTCGAATCAAATCCTAGTCGTCAGTGGAGAAAGCGGATCCGGAAAAGTGAGTTAAAATTCTTGGCGTTGAAATTGGCATGCCGAAAGACATCGTACTTTTGTTTCAGACCGTTTCTGGGAACCTGATCCTCGAACGCCTCTTGAGCAAATTCCAGTCGAGCTTAGTGAAATCCCTGCGAAGTATTGAACCCTTGCTAGAGGCCTTTGGCAACGCCAAAACACAACACAATGACAACAGTAGTCGGTTCGGAAAGCTGGTTTCCCTTGATTGCTCCAAACGTGATCGCAGCCTTATCGGAGCTACTCTTTCTACCTTCATGTTGGAGAAGACTCGTGTCTCTTCGAAACCGTTTCATTCTGAGAGAAACTTCCACATTTTCTACCAAGTGAGAGCATTTGATCTGTTTCGAGCGAGGTATTTACTTTAATTGAATTTGTTTTGTGGTCGTAGTTGGTGCTTGGTCTTGACGAAGATGTCAAGAAGTCTCTAGGACTCTTCAGTCGGACGTGGTGCATTCTAGGGTGAGTTTCCCTCTTGTATCTCGTGATGCAAGTCTCGGAGAATCTTTTTGCTGCAATTTAGGAACCTTTACAACCTTTCGACGGAGTTGAGAAAATGGTACAGCGAGTCCTGGCAAAACACAACCAAATGCTTGTGTTCCTTGCAACTCAGTCCAGACGATATCCACGACCTGACCCGAGTTCTCTGCGGAATTCTGCACCTCGGAAACGTTCCTTTCGAAGATCAAGAGAACTCGAATCCCTCTCAAAGCCGTTCAGAACATTCTCAACTCGCAGCAGATTTACTGGGTCTGACGCATAGTGAATTAATGTCGGCGCTTAGCTCTGAGAAGATGTTCGTCGGTGGACGTGTAGTGAAAAGTAATGCGAAAAGTGTGAGTCGAAGGACGATGGTGGAAAGAACCGTGGATAGTGGTGAACAGCGAGAAGCGAGACGAGATACTCTGATGAGACTGTTGTATGAATCCGTGTTTCTTTGGCTTCGGAACACTTTTAATCGTGGACTGGAAAGAGCTGAAGATGTCGACAAAATCGGTGAGTGTCGTTTTCGAGTAGCCTTATGTATTTATCCTGAATTTTCGGCTTGTTTAGATATTATATTTTGAACGTCCCTGTCTGAATTCCCCTAGAAACAATGCATTAAAAGCCTCCATAACTCGATTTTCCGGAGGCCTTTTGGCTATTATTTTTTTGACGCCGGATGAAGAAAAGCAATAAGAATGGAGCTTTATGCGTTTTGAAAGAAAGTAAAAAATAATTGGGTGAATAAACACTTGCCTCTAAGTCCAGCATTTGGTCAATTAATTTAAGAAGAGATTCAAAGCCCAGAATATCACCAATTACAATATCCTGAAATTCTTTTTTCTTTCCCTCCAACGAAAATGCGTGTTTCCTGAACTCGAAACCTCCCTAACTCGATTTTTTTTACGTTACCCTTGAATTTCGACTTCATATTCTCGTTCATTCGTGCTCTTGTTGCTGTTCGACCAATTTTTCTTTCTTCTACAGGTATTCTAGACGTTTATGGATTCGAGTGTTTCCAAGAAAACAGTCTTGAACAGCTGTGTATCAACTATGCCAACGAACGGATTCAACAGTGTTACGTGACTTCTTTCTTGAAATCTTGGAAGGAAGAACTTTTTCTGGAGCTTGGAGTTAGTGATTCCATTCAAACGCATGTTGACTTGGTGGACAATAGCCCGATTGTAGCTGAGCTGGACGGAAAGTTGTCATTGTTCGGCCTTATTAATGAAGTGAGTGATCTTCCACGGTAAAGTCTTGTTGCTGAACTTCAGACATAACATTTGTCTCTGATTTTGTGGTTCCCGGGATTCCAGAAAGTAAGATACGCTTTATTTCCTTCCATTCGTAAAGGAATGCCGACTGAAATCTTCGTTGGGAGATGAGTCAATCGTCAAGCGCCTAGAGCCGGCATCTCTGAAGAAAATCCTGGTGTCCCGAACGAACAGGAATCTGAAGTCTTCCTTTGTGATCAAGCATTATGCTCGTCAAGTTGATTATTCTGTGACTGGTATGATTGCTAAAAACAAGGACTGTGTCCCTGTCGAGTTCGCGGATCTTTTGTCGAGCTCGACGTCGGATTTCATCGTGAACAAGTTGGGGAAAATCTGGGGCAGCGCTTGTGAAGCTGAGCGATTCGAAGTCAGTGCTTACAAGAAATCCCGGAAGCTCACGATTCTTACCAAGTTTAAGGTGACTCCGGAGAATTATTATTTTCGAAATTTCAACTGAATGACGATCTTAAAAGATTCTGCTTGAAATAGGAAACATGAGAATAATTCATTCCCATCATTTTCTGCCACCTAGAAATAAATTTCAACCTAAGAAAGACTGTGGGCATTTGATGCACTGTTTTGACTAGAAGTGACATCTATCCGCGCAGAAACGATATGTCACTGTAGTGGACGAAATAAGAAAGCTATAACTTTTCCTACGCCATTGGTAACTCTATTTTGCCTTCATTTACATTTTTTCGTTCTTCAGAATTCGTTGGATGACTTGATGAAGCTGTTGAAGACGAGTGAGCTGCATTTTGTACGTTGTGTGAAGCCGTCAGTGGCGAATTCTGTTCAGCTGTGGAATCCCGAGACCATCAGTCGACAACTTTCTGCTCTTGGAATCACTGCAACTTTGGAACTTGCCCGTGCCGGACTTCCGAATCGTTTCAGTTTCCCCGTTTTCCTCGCAAAATATTCCTTTCTCGCGTCTGAAGATCTTCGACTGTCGTTGAAAACCGTGCTGGGAGAAGAGGATAGTCACAACCTTCAGCTTCTGATGAGCAAGTTTCTGTCTGAGATTTTTATGGAATCCGGTTTCAAAGTCGGAATTTCGAGGGTGTTTCTGAGCGACGAGGCTGTGGAGGTGCTTGAGAAATTGGTTGCTGTGAGAAGGAAAGCTGCAGAAAGAGTCATTAGGAGGGGCTTATTGAACTGGAAGCAAAAACGATGTCTTGCGCAGGCTGAAGTCCACGATGTGAAGGAAGAAGTGGTGGGAAGAAGTGTTTTTGGTGCGCTTTTAAGCAGTGAGTAAGAACGTCTAGTCTAATTTTCGAATTTCCGTCATTTTGCTGTTCTTGATTTAAAAAGTGAAAAAAATTATCTTCCGAGTTCCGTGAACAGAAGTATTCTTTAATGGAGCAGTTGCAGTCAAAATGTCGAACGCGTAATTTTTTGGGACTTCTTGTATATCTTGTCTGTTGTTTTCAGGAACAAAGGAGCTTTGGAGTCGTTTATTTTCTGCGGAAGAAGCTTCTGAGGACCTCGTTTATCCCCTGGAATGTGACTGGTCTCAGTTCTACACGGACACTTCAGTTCCCATGTCCACGGAAAAGATCATCAATGGAAAACGAGTTGAATGTCCTGTTTTTGCTTCACCCGGAATTTTATCCATCAGGAGACCTCAAGGGGTTCGTGTTGATAGTTTTATTGGCATTATTTCACCGTAAAGTTGATGAAACCAATTCATTTTTCAGGAAGAAAGAAGTTTTCGTGCCGTCGGAACAAAATTGCACATTGCTCATGCCATTCCTTGGTATGCCAGGCCCAAAGGGTTGTTGGATTGCCTGGAAACTCGATAATAACCAGTCACCTCTTGTTTTTTGCAGTTTTGTTGGTGTACCTCTCCTTTGAGTCCACGCTTGACCTTTTCTCATTGAATCTGTGAAGGGAATCCTTACGAATTTGCTCTGTTTCCATGTGCTCTAGGTGTCTTTGAAGACCTTTTTGTTTTTCCTATTGTGATATCGACGCGATGGATGATATTGAAGCCCAGTTGGCTGCTTTGCATGGAGAAGACCTTGATGCGAAACCAGCAGTGAATGTGAAGCCGAGGAAATCAGACTTGCTTGCGGGGTCCTTGAGCCCGAGGGCGATTTTCGGGGATGACACTTCGAGACCCGGTCATGAAACATCGCATAAGAAAGTTTTTGTCGATCATGAGTGAGTTTCGGTCATTTTATCGTGGATTTCTGGGTGAGGGGTTCCAACGAAAATCTCGTTACACTTCGGGAAAGTCGTTTTTGCGATTTTTCTGATGAAATCGGTGTGTTTATCCTCTTTTTTTTTTTATGTTTTTCCCAGTAAATCGTTAAAATCAGGCAAGCATGTCAAACTCGGCTCCGACCGGAAGCGGAAACACAGTGGGAGCAAGAAGGAAGTCAAGATATTGTCCACTACACCGGAATCCACGAGTGTTTCTCCGACTCCTGGTGACACTGGTCACGAGAGACTGAAGAAGGCTGCGCGTTCAGCATTTGCCAATTCTAGCTCTGAGCCCAAGAGCTCAAGTTGGAAGTGTTGCTTTTGCAGGCGTGGAACGTGTTTCGGGGGCCTGAGGGACTTGTATGGCCCTTACATTGTGCCCAAGAAGCACAAGTCCAAAGCTGGGCATGCTGAATTGGTAATAATTTTGTTCTTTCTTCATCTGAACGAGGAAAACAAGCCCTGTGTTGTAATTAAATTGATGTCTTTTGTTGTTGTGGGGTTTGCTTTTTTAGAGTCCTGGGGAGGAGATTTGGTTCCACCAAGACTGCATCTACTGGGCACCTGGGGTTTATGCCTTGCCGAATGCTGGATCAGAAATGCCAGTTGGTCTGTTGGATTGTCTGGAGGAAAGCTTGATCACTGTGAGTTCAAACACCAGTGATATTTTAAATTTTTCTTTGTCCAGAAATTTATTCTCATTTCCAGTTTGCAAAATTTATACCGAAGTCCACTTTATGCGTAGAAATCATTTTTTGGTTATCTTTTTACATGTACCCCTTAGTTTTCAGTTACCAACACTCATATTTTGAAAACCTTGAAAGATGAAACACTAAATAGAACCCTACTTAAAATTTGACTTCATTGTGGATGTTTTTTGTCTCATGTAAACAATTCTTCTGTGTGAAGAAAACTTTTGAAAACTTCATAAAGAAAATTTTGAAAACTTTCTGAAGAAAACATTTCTAAGCTAGGGGAAAATGCCACCTGAAATTTTTTACTCAAGTATGATGTTCACTTTGTTTTTTATCCCAGTTCCTCAGAAATAATATGCATGTGGTACTTGTGTGAAAACAATACAGTAATTGTCATTTGTAGAGCCACTCTGTCTTTGCATTTTAGCAATTGGCCCTGTATTTCTGTAATACGAAATAGGTGTCGCTTGAATCAGTATCCTGGTAGAGCTACAGCACTATACAGCAATGTAGTTCGACAAAATTTGGGTGACACCTATGTAATGTGATGTGAAATCAAAGAGCCCCAGTCCGTTTTGATTTAAAGCTGAAGAACCAAGCTGGTGCTTATTAGAGTTGAGATGTTTCAAGGAGCAATAGTTTCACTTGTGATGAATTCGTGTGAAATCCCTTGTTTGCGCAGTATTTTTAAATGTTTGTCTTCTCAGCTGTGCATGTCTTGTGGTGAACCCGGAGCAACAGTGGGATGCATCGGAAAGCGGTGTTGCAAAAGTTACCACCTGCCCTGTGCCTACGCCTCTGACTGCGACTTGGACACCGCGAATTTGCACATGCTTTGTGTTGCTCACAAAGTTCAGAAACCGAGGGTTTTGCCATTTTTCTTGGAGTGTGCGACTTTACGGCCTGCAGCTTAATTATTATCACTTTACTGGTTTTTTATTATTGTTGGATTTTTATGGTTAGACGGAGACTATCGTATGTTTTTTGTTTTGTTTTTTCTTTTGCCGTGGCGAAAATTTTTTCGTAATTATCAGTGTACGTCTTCTCTCTGTAAAATTTTCCGAGTGTCGTGAATATTATTGTGAAAAGGTTTTTGCTCATTGACCTTCACTGAACTTCTGGAGAATGACTCGAATGATCTTTTTTTGTCTGCTTTCCAGAAACTGCGTTATTCGCGGGGAAATTCGGTTTGTGTGAAGATGGCATTAAATTTGTTTCGCGGGATTTTGGCTCCAAGAATGTTGGCGAGAAGTTCTGTGCACAGGTAGTGTGATTCACTTGTTCGATTTAGGATGAGTTTTACAAAGTTGGCTTTTTTTTTGTCAAGGTTGAATGTTGAATGTTTCATGGAACACCAGCGAAAGAATGAAGCGAAGAAGCGACCTCTATCCCCGTGTCTGCGCTCGTATGAGTTCAACATGAACATGTTCAACAGCATTAGTCACAGGCTGACTGGAGCTGGACTGACTGGGGTTTTCTATGGCTCTGTGCTGGTGTACATGTGCGCCATGACGCCTTTTCCGGATTTGATCAATTTTTTGTCGACCTTCGAAGTTCCTGTTTTGTTTGGTACTGTCAAGTTCTTGACTGGCTGGTGGTTCACGTATCATTTGTTGGCTGGTGTCCGGCATATGGTGAGTTCAAGAAATTTCAGTGTGCGAATGATGAGCATTTATTAATTTTGTAATTTTCAGCTGTGGGACTTTGGACAAGGCTTGACGAATGCGTCTGTGTTCTGGGGCGGAATCGGAGTGGAAATCGTGTCCTTTTTCTGGGCAATCTACTTGGCCTTTTTCTAGTTCTCAGCAACTCTGTTCTACCTGGGATTTCTTCTCTATTTTTTCAGATAATAAATGTGAAAAGAAATGAATGAGTGAAATGAGTCTGGAGCAGCAGCTGGAAAATGTGGAGAAATTGCCTCCGGAGTTGCAAAAGAATTTTGCCTTGATGAGATCCATGGACCAGAAGATCAAGAAAATGGCTCAGAAAATTGATTCCGAGTCAGAAGTGGTTCTCAGAAAGAAGCTGGGTGGACAAACTGCCTTGAAGGAGATACTGAAGATCCAGAGGATGTATGAGAAGCTTCACAAGCAGCAGGAGGAAAAGGTGTGCAGTTTCAGTCAAGGTTTTGAATGTTTTCTAGATATATCTTTTTCAAAAGGTCGAGTGTCTTGTAATCCTTGCTTGTGATGCATGAAGTGAACTAAGAAAGATCCTGATTCTTCTCTAAAAATATGCACTTGAACCTCTTCAAATTCATGTGACCTGCATACAAATTCCACTTCGATATTTCAACTTGGGGGAAATACCACTTCTCCGCAAAAATATCTTATAGAGAAGTTTACATGATGTTGATCTTGGAGGAAAGGGTTCATTTGCCCAATTTTTTTTTGCTCTTCAGAAAGCATCAAGATGTTACATTTCATTGTTTTTCTTCCCTGTGACAAATATGAGCCTGAATGTCTCCTAAAAAATATTAAGTTGAAAAAATGTTCCATGGGGAGGTAATCACCTTGAGGAGGTTTGAGTTGTTGATGTTCAACTGTTCTAAAAAGGTGACAGCTTTTTTAAATACTGTAGTTTTGTAAAAGTCTCCATGTATGAACCTTTTTAAATTGATGTCAAAAACTAATGAAAGCCATGGCTTTGGGATAATTCAGCTATGTATTCAGCACCTGACCATAATTTTTCTGTTCCATAACTTTTTCAGTTGATTTTTATTTTTATTTGAAACCAATAATATTACAGTTGTAATTATTAGGTATTATTGCCCCAGGAATCAATCATTGAGAAAATGAATTGTTGAGCACAGGTGCAATCAGTCTGTTGGAGCATGATTTGACAGTCGTATTTCTGAGACTTCTTTGAGTGGATGTCAGGTGTCCCCCCTCCAAGTAAATTTACTCACTAAAGTTAGGCGACACCTATGTGTTGGCCGAATAAATCTTGGCGCCTCAGACAATTGACGTTAAAGAGTGAAAAAGGTACGAATCTCTTCGCATTTCTTTTGCAGGTCCAGTTGGCTGTTCAAAACTACGAATTGGCAGACAAGCACATCCGACACCTGGATGCCGACCTGAGCCGATTCGACTGCCGCGACAGCGACAAAGACAAGAAACCCTCAGCTGCCACCAGCAAAAAGAGTTCTTCCAGTAGCAAGAGCAAGAAGAAACGAAGAGCGGATTCGAGTTCGGACGAGAGGCCCAGCAAAACTGCGGGTTCCCCCGAACCTCCGGAACCCGGGCTCATTCCGGGTATTGAGTTGGCCAAGACTGCAGGGGAGGTGTTTGACATGCCCGTGGATCCGAATGAGCCGACTTATTGCCTGTGTCAGCAGGTGTCTTATGGGGACATGATTGGTTGCGACAACCAGGATTGTCCCATTGAGTGGTTTCATTTTCCGTGTGTGGGGTTGAAGGCGAAGCCCAAGGGCAACTGGTATTGTCCCAAGTGCAGTGAGGAGAGGAAAAGGAAGAAGTAGTATGTTGTGCAGGTTTTGGGGGTTTTTTTTTTTATGGGACTGTACCTTTTTCTGGCACCTCACTGTTGCTGCTTCAATCCTGGCAACCTCAGTTCACTTCCCCATTGGGCTCATCCTGTCACAATGGAAATAAGGTCTTTCTGAATGCTTCTGTGACATCATGAAGATGTCACCTCTATCCTAGAAAATGCTTAAGGTGCTTAGCCACATTTTGTGGGAATCATGTTCAAAATTTTAGAAAGATTTAAAAACATTTGAATGTTGGTTACATTTTCAAAGTCATCTGGTATTCTAACTGGGCTGTAGCTTAAGAGCTAACTTGTATACATATTTTCCAGAAAATAGCAATACAGTAATTAAAGAGGGTTGCTGTCTTGCTAAAGGTCCACGGATAATCTTGTACTTGTGCTTGATCTATCTGGAGTGGAATCCTGAAAATGCAAATAAATTAATCCTCAGACTGGCTGTTGTCTTAAGATTTGTGGAATATCATACTGATTTTGTCTCAACCAATGGTATCTTATTTAATCTCCCTCTGGAAAAGAAAACCTTGCATGTCTGCTTTTCTTTTAATATTTTGATGGAAGATTTATCATTTTGCTGGAAGTGGGGTTGCCATTTTTGAAGGGGTAAACGTGCATTATGGGTGAAGCAAAAGGAAAACCCAGTTTTTCAAATCCAAATGAATGTGCTCTGTGTGTGTTCGAGATTGATTTAAATCGCTGACAATCATTTATTCCATTTCGGCGAGAATCTATTTGATGTGTATTGTTGAGTGTATTGAAGACCTTACCAAAAAAAAAAGTCCTTCTCGAAGTGAGCTGTTGTTTTAAAAATGTGATAGTAAAGATTTTTTTTGTGGAGCGATTGAAAAGATAAATGTCATGAAATAAGGCCGTTACTCTTGACCTTAATGTGACCTCCGTTTCATTTCTTTTTTTATTTTTCCGTCCATTTGATTTGTGCGTTTTTTGACTGTGGGCCCCCGGAAGACAGCCTTGGACCACGCCTGATTCTAGATTCCGGTTTCGAATTGTTTCAATCCGAATAGGAGTTCATTCCACGCTGGAGAATGTTGGGCGTGGTTTTGTGGTTGTCTCGCCTGCTGTGCCTGGCGGCGGAAAAGTCGCNATGTGACCTCCGTTTCATTTCTTTTTTTATTTTTCCGTCCATTTGATTTGTGCGTTTTTTGACTATGGGCCCCCGGAAGACAGCCTTGGACCACGCCTGATTCTCGATTCCGGTTTCGAATTGTTTCAATCCGAATAGGAGTTCATTCCACGCTGGAGAATGTTGGGCGTGGTTTTGTGGTTGTCTCGCCTGCTGTGCCTGGCGGCGGAAAAGTCGCGCTCTTCCTGGATTTTTTTTCACGATTTGCAAACATGGAATGTGGTACTGTTTTTTGACGGCACTTTTTTTCAGATATAGATGGTGTTCGGAGAAGAAACGTGAGCAAATGAATGTGGAGTTGTTATTTGCTAGTTGCTTTAACCGACTTTCTGTTCCAGAAGACCGGATGGATGTCGCATGGAGTAGAAGTGGGACGTCTGAGCGCGATTTGTGAACTAGATGTCGCTTTAGATCTAACAACATGCTTAGTTGTTAGATTAACTTATTTACCCTGACGACAGCTGCGTTTCTGTGAGTTTTTCCTCTTCGAAGTATTGTAAATGCACATACAGCACCTTCACCAGGTGAGAAGAGAACTTTTGTAGGGTGAGGGTGGAATAATAGCTTGTTCAACATTTAAATGGAACATTTTATTTTAGGAAAGAGTAATTGCTATAGAAGTAATCTTTTCAGAGTTAAATGCTCATGGAAAAACGTTGTCTTGCCTTTTGTGGTTGTTGAATGTCAATTCAGTTAAATTGCATCATTCCGAAATTGCTAAGAATGCTGACTGCCTAAATTATTGATTAGAAATATATGTAATATGTCTGCCCTACTTGAAGATTAAATGGAATTTGTCTTTGTTGTTGACTAAACTCTTAAACCAGTAATATTTCATGTGTAATTTATCATAGGTTTGTGCTGTTTTTAACAAGTCGCCAGCAGACTGTGTCTAGATGTCACTTCGTGCTGCAGCAAGATCCTTTTGGCCAGCTACTGTACTTGGAAGACAGTAAAATTTTGTGAGAAGATAAGTTAGTATGAAACCTATACACCTACAGTTGAAATTTTAATGGGTTTTGACTTTTGAGGCAGTGATATACAGTATTTCTTCAACATTTTGTGGTGGTAACTACACGGTGGGTAGATTTCGTCAAATCCAGGAAATGGTCTCCGGATGTCCTCGCAACTGCCGTCATGGAGTGCAAGACATAGATGTCGCTGTGATCAAGGGTGAGCATGGGAATGCACTCGCGTGTTCCATCTCTGTGCATGATCCCACTAGATGTCGCTCGCTGTAAGGGTGGGGTTCCCGAGTGCTTACCCGTGTTATTATTGTTCCGTGATGGTGATTAATGCCCCGCGGCGTGTGTCCTAGACGGGCTGGAAACGGCCTTGCTCCTGATTTTCTCCGCGGGCACCGACTCTCAAAAGCATTCGAGACAGACAGCATGTATACTCACAGAGAGAGAGGTGGTCTGCTCTGGGTCCAGTTGGTAACACTCTCTTCTTCTATAATGGGGCGTGGACCCAACATGCAGCAAAGATAGCTGACCGCTGCTTTGTTCTTATTTTATTTCATGAAATATATCCCCTTGATGGTTTCGTTTCGCCCCGCGGGAAGGCGAAGCTCTGGCGCGAATTCCGCAAGTCCAGACAAGGTTGCGTGTGTACGCTTTTATATACTGTACTGTACTTCACTGTACTGTACTGTACTGTACATGAATGTTGCTTTTTTTGTTCATGAAGGGACGAGGGATTGGGCGGTGGGGACAGCTGGGTGCCGGCCAACTGCGCGGTAACCAACTGAGCGTGATAATATACGGTATATATGTTGACTTAATTATGATGGTGCTGATTTGGAAGAAAAGTCTGTGGCTTGTTTGTGAATACAGTACTTGATTTTTGGGCGGAATATTTTCATTTTGTGCAGAACCGCAATTTAATTTAAAAGCTGGAAGGATTGCTTCCATTTTTGACACCTATCTTTGACTATCTTTCTTATTTTTAAAATACCAAATGCGGTAAAGCCAAATTTTTAGCTTTAGATTTGAAGTCATTTTGGTTGAAGGAGGAATAGCAGAAACGTGAGTGCATATATTTATTGATGAACCCCTGGAACAAATCATTTGTGTATGGACCTTGTCATAAGTAAAACTTATTTTAAAGTTGAAAACCTCCATTTTTATCATTTTCCAGTCACTCCCTGGCTGATATCTCAAAGTATAATGACAC